TCATTTTTTACATTTAGGACTTGGATCTATTTGGAGTTTATTCTTATATGTAGTATGAAACATGGATCTATTTTATTATTTTCCAATGGCCATTAGCCATCTCAGCATCAGTTACTAAAAAGTTCCAGTGATTTGAGATGCTATCGTCAGAATACACTAAATTTCCACATATATTTGTCTGTTTTTGGATTCTACTCTATTCCATTAATCTGTTTTTCTTGTGCTAGCACCACACAGGCATAACGATGTTACAGTGTTTTATGTATTAGCATGAGTCCTTCTCCTTGTGGTTTTTCTTCTTTAGTATTTTCTAGCCTCTCTCACATGTTTATTTTTTCATATGAAGTTTACTGTCAACTTTTTAAACCCCATGAAATATTTGCAGTTATTTTTATTGGGATTGTGTTACTTTAATAAATGAACTCACAGAAAACTAACATCTTGATGACATTAAGCCATCCATTCTAAAACCAACAGAGGTTTACATCTACTTTTGTGTCTTTCAGGAATGTTTTAACGTTTTTCTCATTGTTTTTGCACATTTATTGTTAAGTTTATTTTAGGTATGGCTGATCCTCATTATTTATGGATTCTATTTGTGAATTTACCTACTCATTAAAATTTACTTGTAATTCTAAAATCAATAGTCAATACATTTTGTAGAAATACATATGCTCAGAGTGGCAAAAAATGAGTCACCTGACTGCCTTGTTTCAGCTCTCCTGCTCTAAAAAAGGGTCCTCTCAATAGTAAATTTAGTGTCACATTTTCCACATTTTTGTGTTGTTAGTGATCTCGCTGTTTAAAACTGTCCCCAAGTGTAATGTTGAAGTACTATCTAGTATTCCTAAGTGCAAGAAGAAAATATGTATTATACAATCTTCATTCAGGCATGAGTAATAGTGCTGAGAGACAAAAGAAGGTTATATATTTATAAGTGAAAATGATGTGATCAGAGGCTTGCAGGAACTTAACCTTGTATTTCTCTATGGGCAACGATTCAGTATTTGCTAAATTCAGTGTTACAGATGACTTTACAGAACATAAACACCACATATAATGAGAATCAGCTATATTTTTATAAATATTTTTTTACATTTATTTATTTTTGAGAGAGTGAGAGCAAGGAGGGGCAGAGAGAGAAGGAGACATGGAATCTGAAGCAGGCTCCAGGCTCCAAGCAAGCATTCAGCACAGAGCCCGATGTGGGGCTCAAACCCACGAATCATGAGATCATGACCTGAGCTGAAGTCGGAACACTTAACTCACTGAGCCACCCAGGCGCCCCAAGAATCAGCTATATTTTATTTTATTTCTTGCAACTGTATATGAGATTTTTCTCTATCAACATATCCTCTAACTGATCATTGTGCATACAAAGGCTACTGATTTCTGTATGTCAAATTTCTATTCTGCACCTCACTAAACTCTTACATTATTTAAATCATTGTTATCATTGATTCTCTCTGGTTTTTCAGGTATGCTCTTTTATCATGTGCAAATATAATTTTACTTCTTTTTCAATTCTATTCCCTTAATTTCTCTTGTCTAAATGTGTTGGCTACAACATTTCCCCCCTTTTATGACTGTTTCTCATCTATGTGGAACTACTCTGAATTGGTAGTAGGCTAACTCATTGATCCATAGACTCATGGAGTTGAAAAGGAACTCAGAGGTAATGTCGGTCACTTGATGCATGGATCTGTTTTACATCACTTAAGTGGGCATCCAGTCTCTTGAACATCCATTCCATTTCTTCTAGTAAGAGCAGATCTCTTTCAGAGAGTCAAACTGTACCCATTCCATATAGTTCTTGTATTGCTGTCAATCACTCCATCCTGGCCCCACCCCTACTTATGATCCAAGCCAATTATATGGGGTGGCCATAAAATCTGGATACATAACTGTTATTATTTTTTGACAGACTGAACCCCATTTATTACTTATGGCTGGCATATGCAAAAAGCATAGATTTATTCAGTGAAAATCAAACACACAATCACCTGAGGCAATGAATACAGATGTATGTGCAATGTATGGGGATGAAATGCATTAGTGTACTATTGAAATTACTACATACAGCCAACTATCTTAAAAAGAGATTTAAATAATAAAATATAAAATCTTTTATATATACCAACATAGTAACCGTTTCTGGTAGTCTTCAACATCTGTGCAATTTCTGAGTTAGTTTCAACTTATTATGGGTCTTATTTCCTTGTTTCTTTGTATGCCTGGTAATTTTTGATTGAATGCCAGACACTATAAATTTTACTTTATTGGGTGGTCTTTTTTTAATCCCTACAAATATTCTTGAGCTTTGTGTTGAGACATAGGTTATTTGGAAACAATTTTATTCCTCTAGGGTTTGCTTTTAAGCCTTATTATATGGGACCAGAGAAGTGTTTAGTCTAAGGCCAATTTTGTTCCACTATTGAAGCAAACATTTTCTGAGTACTCTATCTGATGCTCCTTGAATAAAGATATCTGTTTTCTACACTGACTGGATGAAACAGGAGGTATTCCCAGCCTTATGTGAGATGTAAGCATTGTTCCCTCTGACCTTTCTGGAAAGTTCTTTCTCCAACCTTGAGTAGTTTCCTCACAGCCATGCACTAGTAAGTACAGAGTTGAAGACTCAAAGGAGCTTATGTACATATATCCAGAGTTGTTTCTGTGAGTAGCTGTCTCTTCTCCAGCCCTCTATCCTGTAGACTCCAGCTGCCTTGGTCTTTTCAGAATCCTAGTTTAATTCAAAGAAGGTACCGGGCTCTGCCTGGGTTCCTGATCCTTTTGTTGTAGCCTGGAAACTGACTCCAGGAAATAAGCAGCACACTCATGGGGCTTACCTCACTTGTTTGTCAGAGATCCTGTACTTCATTGCCTATGTCCAATGTTTTGGAAACTGTGGTTACATACATTTTATCTGGTGTTTTAATTGTTTCAGGCAGGGGCTAGGGAATGAAATCAGGTTCCTGTTATTCCACACTGGCTGGAAGTAGAAATACACTGTCTTTATTACAATTTCCCCCAGCACACTGAATTGGACATTATCTATAAAGTACAACACACTGTATATATCACTTAATGTCATTGAGAATATCATGCATTGTAATGTAATATCAACAAAGTTTTCTTATGTATATTTGTCTTGTAGTTCATTCCTTGTACATGCCTTTAAACCAGACAACAGCGATTGGTCCAAAAATAGAGTAGAGATGCAGAAAGGTAAGATAGAGAAGGTAAGTACCTTCCAAATGCTGATAGTATCTCTCTGGAGCCTGGCATACTGTCAGCACTCAATTGCTTGTTGAATAATTGAATGAATGCATACAGCCTAAGATGAATGCTTGCATGTATGAAGGCATGAATGAATATGACTTGATGAATGGTTTCTTTCCTACCCCACTAGTTCTCCACTGGTCAAACCAAAACTGGATGATTATTCCAGAGCCTATGAGAAACCTCTGAGTTCTGTGGGGAGTCATACTGCTTCTCCACACACTGTCTCCTGTCTTGTTCTGGATCATTTCCTCACTCCTCAATTCCTTCCTCACTACATTACTACTTTACCCTGATGCTGAGCTGATGTTCCTTTTTCTTTCATATTTTTGGAAGGAGATTCCTCCTTTAATTTCTTTGCCATGACCGTGGTGACACCCTAGCTTTCAGGAATATGAACACAATTTTTAATTAGGTTGCAAATTAAAAAAAAAATTTTTTTTAACATTTATTCATTTTTGAAAGACAGAGAGAGACAGAGTGCGAATGGGGAAGGGGCAGAGAGAGAGGGAGACACAGAATTCACAGCAGGCTCCAGGCTCCAAGCTGTCAGCATGGAGCCTGATGTGGGGCTCAAACTCACAGACTGCAAGATCATGACCCGAGCCGAAGTCAGCCACCCAACCGACTGAGCCACCCAGGCGCCCTGATTGCAAATTTTTAGAGTATTAGTGGTGATACTCTAAAATCCATCTTTTCCTAGCATCCAATATTTGTTTTATTAATAATCTGTACCCTGGGATGCCTGGGTGACTCAGCTGGTTGAGTGACTGACTTAGGCTAAGGTCATGGTCTCGCAGATCATGAGTTCGAGCCCCACATCGGGCTCTGTGTTGATATCTCAGAGCCTGGAGCCCGCTTCAGATTCTGTGTCTCCCTCTCTCTTTGCCCCTCCCCTGTTCACACTCTCTCTTTCAAAAATAAATAAACATTAAAAAAATAATCATCTGTACCCTATTATTATGGGACTATTACTGACTAGAAAAAGAATTTGGGAGAGCTATTTCATTTTTGAAATTAGTGAAGCTAATTTCACTAAGGAATTAATGAAAAGAAGTGAATACTTTCATGTCATTGCTAAAATGTGTTCAAAGAAAACAGTAATAAACAAACAATACAATAGTTTTGAAATGTTTCCAATGTAAGAGTTTTTATTGTGGTTCCGCACTCAACTAGAGGTACCTACAACAGACTACAGACAAAAACAATTAGAGAGGGCTCAATAAAAATTGCCAGAAATTAATAATTTTGTTTTGCAGATCTCAGACACATTACTAGATCTTAATTTCAGTCTTAACATTAAGTGATAAAATCCCTAATTTAAATGAGATAATTAATTTAAAACAAGACTGCAGGCTTGGATTATAAGTACATTGCCTTCCAAAAAAAATAGCTGAAAATCCTATGATAGTAATCTGTCAGGTTAAACTTCTGGGCATGATGAATTTACCAAAAGACTGAGTATAATGTGGTGAGGACAGAGAAAATAATACGATAAAGAATGGTTAGGAAAAGCCAGAAAACAGCACAAACAGACGGGAGATCTAGGTGGGAGATAACAGGGAAGTGTACCTGTTTTACAAACAGGGTAGGAATGGGTAGGATGAAAGGCAGTCTTACCTCAGCAGAGAGGCTAGTTCCACAGTGTTGACTGGCTGAGGTCTAGGCAGCCCTGGAGGAATGCTGGCTCTCTTAAACATAGTTGCCACTAGACTGCTTTAAGGTTTCTCAGCAGTGGTCCTCAGCCCTTTGCTGCTGTGGGTGGCTCTAGGAGGAAAGGCAGGGCTGCTTGAGGTGGAGGTATGGCAGCGATGGTGTGGCTGGCTGACTCCCAGATCCTGGGCCGAGGACCTTCTCTGGGGAAGTGGATGTCAGCATTATTTAAGGGTGTTAGAGTTTTTGCCACTCTGGGACCTAAACTGGCCTGGAAACTGGGGAGTGACCTCACGTGCACTATTCTTGAGAGAGGTTTCAGGGTGTTCCGGAGATAGGCGATGTCGTCCCCCGCCTACCTTGGGCTTGGGGTGTTTCTTGGGGTAGGACTCTTGGGACCTGATGCCATAAGAGTCATCAGATTCTGAGGACACCGTTTCCTGGAGAGGCAACCTCTTGGAAGGTTTCTTTTTCTTCTTTCTAGGGTTCTCCGGTCTTAGCTCTTGTAAATCCCCAGTGTCAGTTTCTTTGAGTGGCCATATTAAGAAAGTAGAATTCTTTGTCTTCACATCCTCCCTAGAGAGAGAGAGAGAGAGAGAGAGAGAGAGAGAGAGAGAGAGAGACAGACAGAGAGAGAGAGAGAGAGAGAGAGAGAGAGAGAGAGAGAGAATGCAGGATTACCCTGGTCTTGTTGGCTGCTGTGTCTACAGAGATGTCCAAGCCAGCCCTGCAGTGTTTCTCAGCTCTTGGTCCCTTGGCCTTCTTCCCATGGAATGGAGTTGCAGAGGTCCTGTGGCCCTGATAGTTTGGGCTGCATTTTATTCCATGCAGTTCATTTCCACAGGTCTTTGTGGGAGCCTCACGTGGCATGAAGAATCTAATGTCATTTGGACCTTGTCCTGACCAAGTCAGTGAATGAAGCAACAATTCCTGCCCAAGAAGTCTCTTGGCATGCCTCAGAATTGACCTCTGTCCACCCCAGGATTATAAGCTTGGCCACATCATAGTTCAGTTTATTCCTGACATACTGAACTGGAGCTTGTACAGTAGAAACATTCTTCTACACCCTTAGTTTTCCCTAATTACTGTATGGTGTACCATCAGAAAAATGTCTCCCAAATTCAAAAACAATATGCTTTTTAATTTAACTGACATTGGATTTGACTATGAAGTCATAAAGCTAGTCTTACCATTTAGAAAATATAGTGCACGTGATCAACTAATATTTGACAAGGGAACCAAGAATACTCAATAGGGAAAGACAGTATTTTCAATAAATGGTGTTGAGAAAACTGGAAATCCACATGCTCCTATCCTATAACACTCACAAAAATGAACCTGAAATGGAAATAATAAGAACTCAAACCATAAAACTCCTAGAAGATAACATAGGGGAAAAACTCTTTTACACTGGTTCTGGCAGTGATTTTTTTTAGATATAACACCAAAAATACAAGCAACAAAAGCAAAAATAAGTGGCACTACATCAAACTGAAAAACGTCTGCACAGCAAAAGAACCAAACAATCAAACAAAGAGGCAACCTAAGAAATGAGAGACACTATTTGCAAACCATACACCGGATAATGGATTAATGTCCAAAATATATAAGGAACTCATACAACCTAATATTGAAAAGACGAATAATCCTGCACAATAAATTCTTACTAATTACAAAAAAAAAAAAAACCCAAACAAATAATCCAATCAAATAATGGGCAGAAGACTTGAACAGTTTTTCCACAAAAGACATACAAATAGCCAAAAGGTACATGAAAATGTGCTCAGTATCACTAATCACAAGATAAATCAAAATCAAAACTACAATGAGATATTACCTCACACCTGTTAGGATGGCTATTATCAAAAAGACAAGAGATAACAAATGTTGCTGAGGCTGTAGAGAAAAGTGAGCCCTTCTATGCTGTTAATGGGAGTGTAAACTAGTACAGTCACTATGGAAAACAGTATGGAAGCTCCTCAAAAAATTAAAAATGGAACTACAATATGATCTATCAATCCCACTTCTGGGTATATATCCAAAGGCAACTAAATCACTGCCTCAAAGAAATATCTGTAGTCCCATGTTCCACTGCAGCATTATATACAATAGCCAAAATATGGAAACAACATAAGTGTCCATTGGTGGATGAATGGATCAAGAAAATGTTATATGTATTATATATATATTTCATATACAATGGAATATCATTTAGCTATTAAAAAAAGAAGGAAACCCTGCCATTTGTGACAAGGATAGACTTTGAGGGTATTATATTAAGTGAAATAAGTCAGAGAAAGACAAATACTGTGTGATCTCACTTATATGTGACATAGAAACAGAGTAAAATGGTGGCTGGCTGCCAGGGACTGGGGGGGAGGGGGTGAGGGTAGAGGACATGGGAAGAACATGAAAAATATTTTTTTATCTTATAAAAAAATAAAAGAAAATATATTGGTCAGTTTATTTATCCAGCAATGTTGTATTTCAAAGAAGGTATCTTGGGAACATCATGACTTCATTCCAGCCATGCCCTCATGGCACACCATCTGGGGAACTTGCCTTTTTCAGGGCCTTCAGGGTAAGTTAAAAACACCAGTTCCCTGGTGTTAAACCTTATTTTGTTCCCATAAGCAGTATCTACCACCTTGATCACCCAGCTTTCACTCTGAATAACTTTTGATCACTGCTACTTCAGATCCTCTTGGAAATTACCAAGGAAAAATTAAAAGTGGGAAAATATTTTTAGTTATTTCTAAAAAGAAAATTACATCAATCAAGTCCCTCTTCAAAAGATCAAGATTCACTACATGTGATACTTTTCAAGGATTGGCTCAAAGACTCAGAGGTAATTCCCAAGAGAGATTTAAAAATGGCCTTTATACCTATTAGGATAGCTGTTGCCAAGAAAAGAAAAAGCAAAGCCAAAAAATAACAGATGTTGGCAAGGATATGGAGAATCTAGAACCTTGTACACTGTTGGTGGGAATATAAAAATGGTAAAGCTGCCATATAAATTGTATGTCAATTTCTCAAAATATTAAAAATAGAATTACCATATGATCCAGCAACTCCACTTCTGTGTATGTATAGACAAGAAGAAAAGCAGGGACTCAAACACCCATGTTCACTGCAGCATTACTCACAATAGCCAAAAGGTGGAGACAACCCAAGTGTCCACCAACAGATGAATGGATAAACAAACTGTGGTATATAATACAATAAAATCTTATTTAGTCTTAAAAAGGGAGGAGATTCTGACACAGACTATAACATGGATGAACCTTGAGTACATTATGCTAAATGAAACGTCAGTCACAAAGGAATGGGGGATTAGTGGTCAATGGGTACAGAGTTGTGGTTTGGGATGATGGAAAAATTTGGGGACTGGCTGACCGTGATGGCTGCACAGCAATGGGAATGTACTTAATGTCACTGAACAGTATGCTTAAAAATGGTTAAAATGATACATTTTATGATATATGTATTTACCACAATAAAAAAAAAATGGCCCAAGCAACAGCAGTAAAATGGGAGAAAGCCTTCTCAGGAGGCCACAAAAATTATCTTGATATATGAGGCCAGCACCTATGTAGATGTGTAAGTTCTGTGAGCTGGGTTCTCAGACTCATCTTGAAATCACATGACAAGGCTGTGACACCACCCCTCCTCTGTGAAATCTAAAATCTTACCTACATTACCATCAACTATTCCTCACATTGCTGCTTCCCTCTGGAATGGACAAAATTGATACGTTCTATTTACTCTTTAGAAATGGTCTCTAAAATTTTCCCATGTACATCTCCCAAGTATCAGGATCGGTTGCAGTCCAGTCCACCTCCTAAAACTTCTCAGAAAGAAGAGCAACAAGGAAGGAGAGAGAGAAAGTAGAGAATAAGGCACCCAAAGAGAAAGGTGGAAGAGAGGCTGACCTACCTACCGGAAGGATACCAGGAAGATGATCATGCAAAGAAACCAGTAAGAAGGGTAGGAAAGACCGAGAAGCAACACATGTCTAGTCTTCAGTGGGAGACTGGTCATATAAGTCACACACCACCTGGATAATTAAATTCCAGGCAGGCAATAACAAAACAAAACATGTCCCCATCATGCCAAAAGCAAGTAATATATTGTTAAGTGGGGAAAAAGTCACCAACAACGTATGTGACTAGAAACCTTTCCATCAAATGGTTAACTGTTGCCTCAGGGAAAAGAATTCCAGTAAGATTGTCACTTCTTCCACATTAAAAATTTTTTTATAACTGTCATAAATGGTGAGGGGAAACACAAATTTTTATTTTAAGGAAAAATAATCAACACAGCAGAGAGAATACTCTAGAAGGATACGTGCCAAAATACAAATGGTGATTACTTTTGAAATGCGGAACTATTTTTATATTCTTTTTGCTTTTTTTCATATTCTTTTTGCTTTTAATTTCTAAATTAAAATTATATTAACAATGCGTACTTTGGAATAAGAATAAAAATATGCAAGCTGTCATGATCAGAATAAAAAGCAGACCAGAATTTTGATCAAGGAAAGCCTTCATGTCATGTAAGCAGCTACCCCATTTTACTGATGTCAACTAAGTTCAAAATATTCCACAGGAAATGTCCCTTTGCAGAAGGGGGGGGGCAGGGTAGGTGTGAATCTGATATGAGAGTTCTTATCTGCGCCCCCCTCCCCAGCCCTCCCCATGCCCCTCCACTCTGATTGGCTCAAACCCACTCTGAGGAAGAGGGAAGGTGGCCATGCTCCAGACTGCTAGCCAGTGGACATTATGCATCAGCATGCCTGGAAAGGCGCTGCTAAATGGCTTTCTTTTGCCTCATCTCCTACCAAAACCAAGAAAAATTCAGTGTCCTATTAATTACTTTAGGCTCTAGGTTTGATTAAATAATGTGACAAACAGGTAAAAATTACATATGTGTGTGTCAGGGGGTGGGGGTAAGGTGAGGGAAGCCAGGCATGGTGACTTCCACTGGCTCTTCAGAAGCAGTGGTTCCACTTTGGGGAGGAAAGTGCTGAGCACCCACTCCACACCCTCTTTGGGTCAAAACCCACCTCATTCGCCTGACTAATGCCAGCTTGCCAGTTTGCCCTATCTCACTGGTTTCCTGAGGCCTCGTTTCTATTCTGCTCTAAGTGTCTGTCAGAAAGCCAATCTTAGAATGGGAGGACCTATGGGGTAGGCACCGAATAGATGTCTGGTGAGGACCATGAGACCCCTGAATTTTAACAATGGAAGGAGCAGAAAATGGATAGACTGATAAGGCTGCTGCCATCCCAATTGTTACCACTGGCCCTCAGGGTTAGAAATCGCTATGATTCTCTATGCTCTCTTATATTAGGGCACCGCAGAATGCTTTCTGAAAATAGGCAATGGCATTTGTCCCTCCAGATAATATGGGACACTCACAGGCAGGGTTTGTTCTTGAACTGCTCTTTTATTAAGGGCTTTGCTCCAGCCTAGGAAATGGGGGTCCTAATCTGACCAGAAGAGACGAGGGAGCTAATGACATACTGAGGCTTAATGATTTTAGATGCACAGCTCCTTCTAAGGGAAAAATAGTCA